AGTAAACAGGAAAATAATAGTAAACAGGAAAGAAATTTGCCACAAAAGTTGCCGACATGAACTGATCATGTCTCATCAGGATAATAATCATCACAATAGTAACAATATTAAGATTAGATAACTGATATTAATGATAAGAGTTATATAATAGCTGAAACAATCATTATAATAATGGTATGATAACATTAATTCTAGATCATGATAGTTATAATGATGATGATTTTGAGGAATTATCCTCGGGAATGACCGCTCCTCTAATGGTACAGTTTGTAATTTGCCTCAGAGTGGCAGAATGGTAAAGGATGTTAAAACAATATATTCGTTCCAGTCATTTACTGAACAAAAATAATACACAGACATTGCATGAGGATTCTATATTTCTTGCATTTTTTGACAGTAGTTTCACTGCTCGTTACCCAATAGACCTTTTAGGGGAATCAAAATCACACTTTTGCCGAAAATTATATATATACACGTGTCGTGTGCATACTTGTATACTTATGCCGTACGTTAACAAATTATTATTTCAGCTTTACACATAAACACAAATGTAAAAATCGTTCATGTCTCAACATTCGTATGAAAAGAAAAAAATAACCTTTTAGGGGAAGCCAAAATCTCTCGTTCTAAGAAGCAAATAGCCTTCGCCGCCCCGTAATCCTCGGCGACCTCTCTTCTCTTAATCATTATCACTGCCTCTCCTTCCTTTCCAGTCACCGGCAGTGTCCCGCCCTCCACCAACACCTGCCTTCACTACGTCAACAATATACACGTCTCGAGCGAACATACGAACCTACACAACTACCCTTAACCATTACCTTGTGACGAGGCAGCCAGTAATTACTGCCGTGACACCTTCCCTGTTCCAATTTCCATATTATATACATGGCTATATTCTCATTACTTACATGAAAGGACATCAAATTTTGAGATGCTTATGTGTATATATACAATTGTACAATTCATATGAATATGCGTATATTTTACATGGGAGAAATATAGCTTGTTTTGACGTCCTACACTGAAATAGGAAAGAATGGAATTTTTATTGACCAACCATGAGTTGCACATGGACTACACGCACACACATAAGTAGAAAAACGTACATAGGTGCACATGAATAGGGGAAACGGACTGCAACCGAGGTAGCTTGTTTTTTCCATTATTATTATTCCTCTTGCGTACTCTCTCTCTCTACTATCTTCTTTGTTAGTCTTCTTTTCGTTTCCCGTTTTACTATATCAGAATATTTCTGTTTTACATCGCAAATTGTGACGCATGTTTTTTCCTCTTTTTTGCTCTGTTTTTTTTAGCGAACTTTTCTGTATTAATTTTGCAAAGTTAATCTCTTTCTCGCACCGTTTTCTTAATTTGCATTTTTGTCGGTTTTGACGCATATCTACTTTCGCATTTTCTCATTCAACACATTTCTTTACTTTCACGCATTCGCTTTCTGTTTTGTTAGCGGCGTTCTTTCGCGTATTTATTGCATTTTGATACATTTTCTAGTTCAATTTTGTTCTCTGTCGCCTTGATTTTCTGTGACGTTTCTCTTCATATTTATTCGAATTTTCACCGCACTTTTGACGCATATGTGCATATATTTTCCATAGGAGAAAAGAACGGAATCTCATTGATCTACCATGGCCTACACGCACACACAGAAATACAAATACATACACAAATAAAGATATAACAAAAGGGAAGGGAAAAACATGGCAACTGACGGGCGTCTTGTAATTATTGTGCACCGGAGCTTTCCATGTCTTTCAGCCCCGGACGAGGTTGCAGTCAGAGGGAGCAATTTTGGCTCCATTTTGCAGATTCGAACTCGCGATCTGGCGATTCTTATTAAAATTCGAAAATTATTAGAATTTGAATCTGGCGCCCTTACCCTCTCGGCCACGGTGACGAGGGGTATCAGGAAAGGGTTGGAAGAGGTATTTATCCAACATGTGTGTTTCTTTGTGTATAATATATTTTATTTCTTCGTTAGGTTTATCACACCTTTGTTGATTACTGTCAGCAGTTTGGTTCGCTACTTAACATAGGCCTACTTCTCTGTGACCTTCCTTACGAAATCCTATAACACCTCGAGGGTTTCTGTTCGTTAATGAACCAATTGTCTGTCTTTTTTTCTTTCTATATTTGTTTATTCTATTTATCATTTTATTTTTTTTCAACCTCAGTGTCAACAGTCCTTTATACTAAAGTGCTCGAGAGGAGAGAGAGAGAGAGAGAGAGAGAGAGAGAGAGAGAGAGAGAGAGAGAGAGAGAGAGAGAGAGAGAGAGAAGAGAGAGGAGGAGAGGAGAGAGGAGAGGAGGAGGAGAGGAGAGAGGAGAGAGGAGA